CATTGCCGCCTGGTTCCTCTGCTTGCTTACACACCTACGTAGAGAGATACAAAAACATGGGGAGAGAGTCCTCGCTGCACGTTAAGCCCCGTGCTTTGGCTTACCAAGCCTGCACGTTCGATGCTGCTGCGTCACAGCTGGGCAAAGGTTTCAGCCAGCCGGCTGAGAATTGTGCCTGGCTGAAATTAATCTTTGCCTCCTCCTCGTAGCCTCTGCCATAGCAGTAGCCCCTGCAGGCCAGTTGCCAGCAGAGCAGGGACAGGACAGATGAGTGGAAACAATTAGAAGCTTCTTAACCTGCTCACTTAACCTTCCCTGTTCAGGTGTGTAAAATAAACCAACCTCAGCACTGACTGACTTCACAGGCTCCTGAAGATTTAAGATATACATTAAGACATGCCGTGTCCCTTGCTTAAAGCTCAACACTCGAAGGTACCCCAGTTCTGACGAACGTTAAACATAATGGGTGAATGTACCCAGCGCAGGTGAAGCGGCTTCTGACTTTATGGTAGTTTTTCTTGGCTGTCTCTAACCTGTTGGGAGACACAAATAATTCTGTGCCTTAATCCTATAAACAAAATATTTAAAGATTATGCGCAAATTCAGGAAGGTGTCCTTACCTGGAAAGGTGCTTAAATACCCTTAGACTTTAGCACATTGTTGAATTTAAGTGTTTGCGTAAGAACTGGCTGTCCTGAACTAAAGACAGAGGCATTGTTTGGGGGATTTTTTTTTCCCCTCCTTACTCTGAGAGAACAAAATCCGAGCTTGCAAAGCGTGTAACGAGATTGAGAAAGGTCTCTCTATTTTAGCTCTGTTACAGGAAGATAACAAACCGCCCCAGTTATTAGTGCAGTGCATGCCTCAATGGTTTCATATGCTTCGTTAACCTGAACAGCTAGCAGTGGTTCCAAGCATGGAGTATGACAAGATCTTTTGCAGTTAGTGTGCTTATATAGGTTTCTTTTAAGGAGGGCAGTAACCAAAATTCAGTTTCTAAAAGAAAGCGTCGTTAGGTGCAATAAACAGTGTAGCTTGTAATCAAGAGAGAGGAACAAGAGTCACTGCTAGACTTTGGGGTGTTTTCTTTCCTCTTTCTGCCACTCCCAATTTTCCTTTCCTTTTTTCTTTGAATGCTAGGAGATAGTGAGGAATTGTTCCTCAGCTCTTAGATATTGCCAGAAATCAATTGTTAATGAAACTGGAAGCATTTATGATAATAGGAAGTTTGCATGCATGGAGCTAAGAAAAATAATCAACTTTCAGAATGAGTATTTGCTTTAGAGATTAGTATTGTTTCTAAACGGTTTCAGTTTCTGGTGTGGAAAGTTATATATGTATATCTATGTGTCTATTAGGAGATAAGATTGCATTTAAAGCCATTTTAAGCATTGCCATCTCAGAATTACAGTAGCCATAAGTATATGTGACAATGTGTAGTAAAGAGTCAGAGGAAATGTTGTAGTAGAGCTGAAAATTTGTTGCAAAAGCTTTGAGCTTGGTTGTCGGGGGTTTTTTTTGTCCCCTGGCTTGTAGACAGCGTAACGCCATGGAAATTTCCTGGTGGGGTTTCCTTAGCCCAGCAGAGCGATTCCCCTTCGGCTCACCAAGGGGAGAAGCAGCCTTTACCTTCATTTACTTTGCGTAGTTTTGCCATAGGTCCTCATCTCCCTATTTTCCGGTTTTATCCTGACACTCCCCCGTTGGTGATAGAACAAGGCGTTGCCAAGGCAGGCCGTGCCTGGGGACAGGCAGTGTTTCACCGCAGCTCCTTTCTCCTGGCCCTCCTTGCCAGAGCGAGCTCTATTTGTGAAAACGCCACGTCTGCTTCTTCCCAAGCAAGCTGTTGCAAGCAGCTGGTTTAGTTCTGTGTAGATCCTTAGAGACGTAAAGAGCAACGCTTTCCACACCCCACCCCCACCCCCAAAACCCATTTAAACTTAATGACCATTTAAATATTTAGAGTATATAGCTTCGTAACGCTTCCAATTTTATCTTCTTAGCTTGCTACAATTATATCAGTAATACTGGTCAGGACAGTGCTTTATTGCGCAGCAAAATACAAACAGTTCAGTACTGCTTTCCAAACACGCGTTTTTTGCCAAAGGTTTACTAACAGTTAATATTGCTCATTTACATATATGCTCTAATAACACTTAGAACATTTCACTTCTGTTTCGAACTGTACACGTTTATAATAACAAACTCCTCCTTCGGTAAGGGTGAGTGAATACTGCGTTCCTTTTGTCAAACCCTTGCTTCCCCAGCTGTCAAAAATCGAATGAGATAAGCAATTGCTAAGAGTCTCGTTCTACTAACCGAACAGAGGCTTCGATTCCGAAAGACTCAAACATGTGGTTTCCCTCTTCTGGCCTGAAGAAAGAGATAAAGCCAATTACGAACGCCAGCTTCTTTGGGTGCACTCAGTGATAGCCAACCTTTTATTTGCCAGAGGCATCTACGGTATTTTAGTAGGCTCACCTGTAAGCAAGCAAATAAAACTACTATTACTTGGCGCTTGCCAAAATGTCAGCCCGGGAGTGACACCGGTAGTTTTGAGTCACACTGACGCTGGATAGCTGCAGCAATTGTAAAGACAGGGACTCCAATGTTGTTATACATCTGCAATTTCTTTACTGATTCCTCCTATAATTTAGTTGTTGAGGGGAATTTTAGTTTGATTTAGCAAAATCTTATGCTGTTACAGCACTGGAAATGTCAATGGAACAACACTTTCCAGCATTTAATTATGAAACACCTCCATTACAAAATGATGGATTCCCTTTTCAGAAGCAGTAAGTTGCATCCTGTGATAACATATATTAAGTTGCATCCTGTGCTAACGTGTATTTATTGTAAGATTGTGGTAAAACCTCCACTTTTTCTTGGCTCTTGATGCTATCTAACTCCTAATAAAGGCAACTGGAATTAAAGATGCACATCCATTGCTGTATCTTTAGTTTATACCTCTGAACTTGTCTTGGAATTGCAAGATAAATCTCCACCGTGTTTCCACATATTGATGCTCTATTTGGAATCACTTTCTTGCTGTGAAGACTGTATGATTAATGTCTGTCAGTCACCTACATCAGTTTAAACCTTCTGTTTCCTTTTTATTTATATACATTCTAAAGCAAAAAGCTAAAGGTTGGATTATGGCATTGGAAACACAGCTGCAAAAGAAAAGCATAAACCAAGAAAGTGTATTCCTACACGGTAGTTGCTGAAAGGGTTTTTCCTTGGGTGCTCCAATAATTTAGCTCATTTGGGGTTCTAGCTCTGTAGCCTGATGTCTCATGACAGATTTGTATTGGAAATCTATTTTAACCTTTCCCCTGAAGTTGTTAAAAGATGGACTCTCCATCTATTTCTTCATTTGACCTTCCATTTATTTATTTATTCATTCTCTGATTTTTTAGGGTTGTTTTTTTTTAGGGAAGCCTACTTCAGTAAAGTAGGACTTTCATGTTGTATGCAGCTGAATAATCCAGTTTTCCTCTCCCTCCAACAATGCTAAATTTACATTCACAGCTGCATAGTACAGAATACTCCTAGATATGAATGCCTTTCTTACAAGTCAAAACATTTTTAAGACTGTTAGAAAATTTTAGGAAGCATTCATTTTATGGGCATTTTACTAAACAAACTTTAAATTTTTAATGAGACCCATAATAATAATAATACTGATCACATGTTTACTTCTTTTTTCTAGGTACTTTCTTCCTAGAAGTTTTAAACTTCGATGTCTTCCAGTCATACATTTATTAATTAAATTAAGGACTTGTGTTTACTGCAAATAAAAAAACCTGTTTATCTAAAATGCAAATTAATTCCAGTTTGAAATTCCTCTGCAAGTCCTCACAAATTTGTAGTACCTTTGCATTTTGCTCTTAGTCTCTTTTACAGGCTAGAATCCCTGGGAATTCACTTTTGCTGGGAGACAATGGCGGGTCCCAGAAAATGAGTCCTGCCAAGGATGGGACTCAGCCCAGTCCACAGATAGAACGGGAGACGTGTCTAAATAACAGTATTTAACTAAAAAAAAACCTCAAACCCAACAATAAAAAAGCAGGATTATAAGACATTTTTAAATGAGGTAGAAGCGCCCTCCTGCCCTCTACTTTCTTCACTTCCTATTGCAAAGTGAGCGATGTTATGGAAGTGTTGCCTTATATTAATTTTAATAAGCCTAACAATCTTTATTCACGTGGCAGTGAGGCAGTGGAGGCACCGACAGGTACGAGTCTTGTATCTCATCTGTGATAAGAACTTCTGACAGTATTTGCTGCTTAGGAAGGTGGATCTTTTGTAAACATCCCATTGACGGTATTTGAGAATACTGTGCAGAACGGCAGAAGTGTCTGATAACCATGTCTGAGGGTACAGTGTTTCTAATATCGATATGATTGTAGAGTATTTCATCAAAGGTGGGCTACATATTACGAAGGTATCCTTCAATCCAGAGCACAGTTTCAGTTGTTATCTAATTAAATATATCCATGAGTTCAAATAACCATCTTTACTAATAGTTCCTAATATAGTCCAGCACTTTTTAACTCATAGATGAAGACTGAATACCTTAAGATCTGTATTTTAATCTTAATAGTGTTTTATACAAAAGACAAGCCATTACATCATTACGCTCTTCAATGCGATAAAGGTCAGCAGGATCTGTCACTTAGTGAAAAATGCTGTTGGCTTTACTGGATGGCACCTTCCCCTGCAACTCGTAGTCTTTCACCGACTTTTTCCTTATTATGGATGTCATAGTCTTTCTCTTGTCTTCAATTGCAAGCCTTTACCCAGCTGTGCTCCCCAAACTCTTCTTCTTAATACTCTCCCAGATTTCTTCATTCTATGAATAAACTTTAAGTGGCCTATTTTGTTATTGTTTACACACTTCTGGTCATGTCTTCTAGACTGTCTCCTATTCTTAAACTTTCTCTTTATTCACCTCTTTGAAATGAAATTACATTCTCGTTGCAGGAAATGACTTAGACATGTACCAAAGCCAGTTTCTGGAACTTCGGCAAAGACTACTGTATGCTGAAAAGGAAAATAAGAAAAGATCGCACGAACTGAGCAGTGCCCTAGATGAAATCAAACGTGTAGTTGCAAGAAGAATGAACTCGACGAGAAATCATACAGGTTTGTGTGTATGAAAATGTACTGGGTTAATGCTTCGAAGTTTTGCGTGCTCGTGTTTCTTTATTACTGGTGTGGGGAGAAAAATCATTGATGTGATTATATTAGCATTAGGTAGAAGCTTCTACTTTAAAAAAAGGGTGGGGAAGTAACCTGTAACCCCTCTTTATATAGGATTGGTTAGTAACTAAACAAGTAAGGAGAGAAAAAAAAAAGGGGATACAATAAACTGCAGTGGTGTCAGAGTGGCAAAGCTGCACATACTGCTGACAGAGTTTATTACAGTGCTTATCCCTCTCTTGCTGCCAATCACAGAGCACTGGATAAGCTATTTTACCAGCTTTTATTATGCCATTACACCCTGATAAATACTAGGGCTTGGCTACCCTGGAAGGCAGGTACACGCCTCCTCAGATGGTCCATAGTCCTGATCCCTCTCAGGTGGAGTGACTTTTGGGGGGGGACTTTTTGGCCATGGGTGCTCTGCCATCCTGCCAGCGGACCCCAGGCACCGCGGTGTGCGTGGTGGGTGCGCAGTCTCATCTCAGCAGGCAGACCACGTACAGCTGGGTGCTGGCCTGAACCCAGGAGGTGAGAAGCCCCATGAGGACTTGCTGGCTCGATACAGCCTAAGAATGTTCCCTCTAGAATTTAGTTTTATCTTGCAAGTAGTTCGTTAATAATCCCAAGGAAATGTGGATGCTAATTCAAAGAAAACCTTTGGGGGGGGTTTCTCTGCTTGCTTTTTTTTTTTTTTTTTTTTTTTTAGATGGACACCAACATGCAATTAAGTTTACTGTAGTGATTTGGCTTCTTCCCATTGTTCAATTAAACTTCTTACTTATTTAAAAAATACATTAGATCCTTGCCTTACAGACTGTTGTACATCCCCATCTATCTGCACACCGTAGCTGCATATGATAGATGAGACAGTTTGCTTCTGTCCCCTAAAAGAAACGACGTAGTAGCGCTGGATCTGCCTTCCTCCCTGTTCAGACTGGAGGAGCTCCTTCCCCGAGGAGAGAAGGAAACCTCGAAGGGCGGCTCTGCGCTGGAGGCGTTCCACAACACATCCCAACTTCTAAAGGAGTCTGGATGCTACTGAAAACTACTTCTTAAAAAGCCGTATTTGCATTCAGCGCAGCGGGCTGGTGTCAGATAAAATTAGGGAATTAACCAGGACTGTTAGAGGGGAAGAAGGAGCAAGGTGCATTA